TCCAGATTTTATCTGACCGGCAGATCATCAACGATTCTGGTCCGACCCCAAAATTTTAAGAAAATATATATAAAAATTCGCCGAGAAAAAAGATGTAAAGTTGTCGGGCCAGCCCTGAATCGGAACTGGCGGTTCACAAATTTATTAATTTGTGACCCTGAACCGGCCCGACAAAACCACAGGCCCGGTACTCGGCCCTCAGTCAATAGGCTTGACCTGGCCGGTTTCGGCCGGTGTTCGGGTTGGCTACATCTATTAATTTGTTAAGATAATTTATTGATATTAATTAATTATATTGATAAAAATAGAAGAGTTAAATTAATTTTCAGTTAAACGGTTAAAAGTACCATCAGGCCACTGTGGTTGGTTTCCAATCGGCCCATTCAGGTTTCTTTCTTCACGCAATCGTTTGTCCAAGGATAATAAGACTGGCAAAAAATGTAAATAGAATTCCATTGCCAGAACTTGAACCCGGGTCTCTCGGGTGAGAGCCGAGTATCCTAACCATCTAGACTACAACGAATATGTTCACCAATGTTTATCTTTAACTATATATCTTTATATAATACACTGTGTGCTCCAGGCGGTGACCTGTGAAGAACACTTTCATGTCCAGCATCCTCTTCATCTGTAGAATAAGCTATATGTCGGCCTAGACTGTCAGTTTAAGGGTTTAATTAACAATTTTAAGAATTTTACCATTTGCTTCAAGTGTTGTTTCCTTAATTCAAAGGACATGCTCTAGATGCATATCATGTCTGCTTTTGTTTTTTCTTTTTCCTTTAAATTCTTCCATTCTAATCATGTCGTATATTGCTTCGTTTTACTGTTTTGATTAGGAAGCTGAAGATGTATATCATTATCATCAAAATATAAATATTTTTCTTCTGAACAGCTTTGTTTATATGTGGGTTCCCATATCCTTTTCTTATTTTCTATTTTGTGTGCTGCAGACTTTCACTTTTTCCATGAATTAGTATCAGTATGGCTGAGTTAATATTAGATACTTGCTTATCAACGATGACATCCATATTAAACTACACCCCCTTGAGATTTAGTCTACACAGAAGCAAGTTATGTTCACTGTCGTCAAGATTAAAGAAAATGCAATATTAACATCATTCCTTTTTGTTCATTCTTTTCCTATTTGTATTTATTTCGCGTGCGATGCATAATATGCCTGGAAAGATAAGAGGAGATTTTTCTAGCGAAGAATTTTCGTGGATAAGTTGTTGTAGTACTCAATATTTCTTTGGACATGTTTATGAGCCATTAAGTGTGAAATGTCTCATAAAATCTGGTTTAACGGGTTAGTTACATGAGAGTTTTTTCACCCTCTTCTATAGGGCTGTTAGCTTTTAATGCTATATGATTATGATTCGTGGTTGTTGTTTTTCCAGTTCGCACCTAACCTTACTTATAATATTTCATTGTGTTGGAACATCACTTGTGAGTCGTCCCACATTGATTTGATAGGGTAAATGAACCTAGTTTATAAGCCTAGTGGGCTACTCCTTCCGTCACGAATTGGTTTGGGATGGAACCTCATTAAGGTGTACCTAGCTCACCCTCACCCTCTTCTGGTGCACTTCACCTGTGTGGGACCGCACCCCTGATTTTCCCGATTATCAAAATTTGGCAGATTGTTATTCTGTGTGTAAGTGTGTTTCCTGTTTTGCTTTTCATGTAGACATTTTTATCAGCTAGCAAATTGTATGAGGCTCTCAATTATTAGCATACATTTATTATTTTCGTAAACAGTTTGGTGTTACATTTAAAGTCCCTAACCTAGGATTTTTGTCTCTACTTGGAGTACTCTACACCTTTTCCTTTGTTGCCTAAAAAGTTTGTATTAGATTATAAGAACAAACTAATGACCTAACACCGGTTACCCTGCTGAAAAGCATCACAATCCCTCATGGCAGCCCTGATAACCATATGTGCAGGTCTTCTAACATGCTCAAACACCCATAAGTTGCGAGATTTCCACAGCCACCATAAAATATAAGTCGATAACTGAATCCGGGCTTCAGAAACCTCACCAGTATCCAACTGACAAATACTCCACCACCAAGATTTCCACCACGATATTTTTTCACTTTATTTAAGATCAAAGTATAATAACAGGATGGAGCAAAAACCGTAGTTCAGCTTGCATCTAGAAAAGCAAAATTCTAAATTAGTTGACATAAAATCTCAACTTCGATAATAATGAGCAGATTAATACTAAGCACTCATGGTGGATGAGCCTGATTTGAAGCCAAGCCCTGGCATGACGGTCGAGGAATGCCAGAATATGATCCAGAGAAGTCTTCGAAGTACTATTTAGTTATTGTTACAGTTATTTATTGACTCTAGGATAAAATATGTTCCTTCATCTAGATGTATTTTTATGCAGCTCCCATGGTAAAATTTCTGAAGGAGCACCTACTTATTTAGTTTGCAAAGGAGCTACTGCTGGTGGTTATGTTAAAGGCCAAGGGGTAAGTTGAGTTACAACACACTACTCATTTAGTTTGCAAGTTCAAATCTTGAAATCCTAAATCGCCAATCGAAAAAAGGAGAAAATCATAAAAAATAATATGGTGTGTTGATTCCCAAAGTAATTTTTGTGTTCTGAAGTAGAAGCTAGGAGTCACAATATTGGCAGCATTTTACATTTTTTTTTTTTGTTCATTTTATGTGTAAATTGGAAATCTGTGATTCCTCGCCTTATATATTGTTTCTGATCATAGATAGTGGTATGTAGTAATCACCTACAAATCCAAGATGAGGTAACACAAGTGGGTGATTCATGAGCTCATTCATGCGTATGATGAATGTCGTTCTGCAAATTTGGACTGGTTTGACTGTGCTCACAATGCTTGCAGTTATTTCTAATTTCTTAAGCACATGCAAAGGTGTTATAGGTGATGATTTTATGTGGTCATTATTTTAATTTTCCTGGTTATCTGATATGCAACTATATTTCTCTTTGCCTATGGGGGCAGATACGGGCCAGCCATCTCAGTGGAGATTGCTATTACAAAAGGGAATTACTTCGTGGCTTTATGAAGCTGAGAGGACATGAGCAAGTGAGTTTCGTCACATACTAATTACTAGCATTCTCAAAGTGCCACTTCTATTAAGTTAATATCAATTTTTAGTGTCACATTCTCTGCCTGATGCGTGTGTGTCTGTGTGTAGGATTTTGTGCGGCGAAGAGTGATGAAATCAGTGACAGCAAATCCATATTGTTCGGAAGCATCAGCAAAGGATGCAATGGAAGCTGTTTGGGATATTTGTTATAACGACACTAAGCCCTTTGACCGTGCTCCTTGACGATATTAACATTGCCGTTTCTTTGTTCTGGTCCGGAATTCGATTTTGTTCGAACATCTGAGGGATTTTATTTTTTATTTTTTATTTTTTATTTCCCCCTTTTGTTGATTGTTTACACAAACTGTTACGATCAGTTTTGTGCCTGTATTAGGGAACTTTTTCTAGAAAACAATTGGTTTTGATCCTTTTGAAATATTTATGTTAAATTGTTTCTTTTTTTTTTTTTTT